CGTGTGTGTGTGTGTGTGTGTGTGTGTGTGTGTGTGTGTGTGTGTGTGTGTGTGTGTGTGTTCTTGCTGGCACACTCTCCCTCACGGGCCATTCTTTTCTAGTTTTCCGTTTGTTTGATTTTGATTATCCCCAAAAAATGTTTCTTTATACGGGGTGCCCACTACGGATGGGATCGGCCGATCGGGCCGATCGCCCGACTCGATCGCCTCAAAAACAAACGTGTTTGTTTTCAGTTTCAGGCGATCGAGCCGTAGTGGACACCCCGTAGGCCTATTATCATGGTCATTTCTTGATCAATATAATGTAATGCTAAAGCCCATTATGCATGAGGCAATAAAACTTGATGATAACCTGGCGTTCACTTTTGTCGGCAGTCGCTCAGATTGGTTAAGCAGTCATTATATAATATGTAGCTTTTAGACCCCCACACGCTTACTAGCATGAGGCCTTACAACTGTCATGCACACAAACACCTGTTGTTGTTGTTGTGGTTGTGGTGGTGGTGGTTGACGTTGCTGCTGCTGCTGCTGTTGTTTTGTGTGTGTGTGGGGGGGGGGGGTTGTAGTTGTTGTCGTCTTTGTGTATGAGTTTAAATTGATACTGAATTAAGCACCATATAAAGCTGTACAAGAATCGCCAAGGAGCGTGCATTTACCAGCATTACTATCACACCAAACGTTACTAAGGCTACGAAGATCTAAGACAAACTTGAAACCAGACCAATGTCACTTAAAACCAATGGTGGCAACAAAATTAAGAATAGATCTAAGGGTAATTTTTAAAAATAATAATAAAAACTGCAGATGGGCAAACCGAAGGATTCTCAGTTAAACCTAAAACATAATTATTTTTTCAATAAAAGGGTGAAAAATCAACATCTAGATCTAGATCTTGACATGAAAGATTTGACAGCTTCAGTAATAGTAACCTCACTCCATTTTCTTTTCTTTTGTCTTTTTTTAAAACCTCATTTACCAACTGCTTCCGCGAGCGCCGTAAGGGCCCCTATACCGTCTCTCGTTCAGTATTTTTCCTACAATAACTGCTCCCTACTCTAGGTCTATATTATGTTACAATAAATCCTCCACAAATTTATTCAGGGGACACCATTCACGTATAATTTAGCCTGCTAGTTTCAATTTAGCAACATGGCGAACAACCGTGTTTTGGTAGGTTAAGGTCAAAGTATGTTCAGTGCTTTATGAATGTATTTGTGATAATTCAAGTTGACTTTGTACTTTTCTTACAATGGCAAAATATTGTCATTATTTACACTAGGCTATTATATAAGGGGCATCGAACTATCTAGGCTAGTACCAATTGGTATTGCCTGGGAACCCTTCTCAGAAGTTTCTGTCACCCTCCTCCTGGGCCTAGAATCTAGGGTTGTTGTGATTATTAGGTTAGGCCTATAGTTATAGGCTATACTCTAGATCTTGACCTAAATCTAGATCTAGTGGAACTCGGATTCAATGAGGTCGCCGGGCGTGACCTAAAATCTCGTTGGAACCGAGTGTTCGTTTTAAAGCAAACATGAGGTTTTTGTGTAGATCTACATCTAGATTCTAGATCTAGATCTATTCTAGATAATTGTATTACTACAGGCTCTGAGCAAGTAATGTATAGTATAGGCCAAATAAAGAGAGTAGTAACAAGTGGTGCCTGAAGACTGAAGAAATGCCTGCATATTAATGAGCTGTGTAAGAACAGTTGTGTTGCTGTACGTGTAGAACCTGTTGCCCCTGGGGGGGGCGGAGGGAGTTTGTGTCCTGCGACGTTCCACAGTTCCACGCCCGAACCGATGGTGCCCCCTTCCCCCCGACACGCACACACAGAAGTTACATGTTTGCAGGCCACCCATCCAACCCCAACACACGCTAGAGTACATGTAGACACGTGCGCCTGCCAATAACATGTCCGTGTGTTGGTATGAAAAAAGGACGGTGATTCGTTGCCTGCAATCGTCGAAGTGAATAGTCTTTACGATGCAGGTGCAATAGATGGTTTTCGGGAATAGATAAATAAAGTTCATTGTGGGAGAAAAATGAGCGAAGCCGTGTCTGCAGGGGCTGTTTACCCTGGAAACGACCTCATTAAATCTGAGCTTGCTGATTTAAGTGCTCATTGAATCCGGGTTATTTTAATTGATTTTAAAGAACAAAAAAACTGAGATTCCATCTCATTTCGTTGAATCCTGAGTTCTCGTTGAAGTTCCACTGTATTATGATTGGAAGCCATTATTATTAGATGATTAGCTGATTAGCAGAGGGAGCAGAAACGGGAATACGGATTACCAACCTCATAACAATTAAAACTAAACATTGATTCATAGTCCGGTTTTGGTCCCAATGATTGCTAGATCTATCCTATCCCTACCCCTACCCTTACGCCATAACCCTAGCCCTTAGATCTACCCTCATCAAAATTTTTCTGTTTTGTTAAATTTGCTATTGCCTTTCACCTCTCACAAACGAGTTTTGGTCGGGCATTGTTGGTAAAAGTTCATCAAATTTTCAACAATGATGCGGATAAGGATGTTGCCTTTTAAACCACTTACCCCTTTCTTAAAATCTGTACAGACATGCATAAAAGTGTAGCCTAATAAAATGATCAAGAGGAAACTACTGCATTCATCTCTGAAGTAAACAAATTAAGAATAGACATCTTTGTTTTGTCGTTGTCTCTCTTTTGAGGCGTACAGTGTATATATATTTAGTACCCTTCTCAAGCTTTGGATCATATGATTGGATAAAGATCCTATCAATACAATTCACTTGCTCCATTTTCTTAATCACTTACTTAAACAATTTTTCTCCTTAGCAATGGGCGGTCATGGCAAGAACGTGGTGGATTTATGACGCCAACCTCCAGTGCCCTTTCAGATCTTCTGAGAGAATCATCACATACTTGAAGGGGAAGCACAAGCCAATCTACCATCCTTTTGGTAAGGTTTAGCAAGATTTTAGCGTTTCCTTGCTTTCTCAGACATTTTGATGTTTTGTTTTTTTCTAATCTTCTCTAAGTTGAAAAGGTGTTTCTTCATCTTGCTCTGTTTGTTTGATAGATTGCGTCTTCCATCAGTATATGAAAAATTAAATTTAAAATGTTTTCGAAAAGTGGAGTGTGTTAGGTGTCACAGGTATCTCCGAGTTTTGTCTCTGTTGTTTGCTTTGTCTGTCATTGTATTATATAATAATATTACTCTTTAAGTGCCATAGCTGTGTAGATTGCAAATGGAATCTTCTTTAAGTTCAATTTTTCAACTCATCATATCAGAGATTTAGCTATACAATCGATTCTGTCGCTTCAGATAATTTTTATTTTGTGAGAAATGGGTTTAACAGAGACTGCTCGAGATGACTTATGACGAAATGCTTTTTGGTGCTGTGCCCATCTTCCATAGAGATTTTTTTTAAAGATAAAAATGTTTCGCTTCACTATAGAGGGCAATGTATGAACTTTTTCTTTCATTATTTAAAATAGTGCTTGTTGTAATCTCTTACCTTCTTTTTGGGGAAGCCACATAGACAAACTTTCACTCATCTTAATAAATGTTCTCAAAGAAAGTGTATATATTATAATACTATAGTAGATACTTTGTTTATAATTCTCCTTTTGCTCTTTTCCAATTCAGCTGACATAGGGGATCATGTGGTTGTTTTTAATACCAGACATGTTGCCATGAGAGGCAACTTCTGGAGAACGTTCAAGCATTTCAACCATACAAGGTAATTTTATTTACTTGAGGAAAGTAGAAGAAAACCCATTAAACTGATGGGATATCATCTTGACTTGTGTTGCTTTCTTTTCTCTACACATCAAAATACCATAGAAATGTTCAGTGGCATATATTGCATAATGTGTAATTTCAGATTGTGGAAATGATTACTCTGATAAATTTAAAAAATTTTTAATTTAAATTTAATTTTAAAAATGTATATATGTATGAAAGTTTGTGTGAAAAAAAATGTTCTTGTCTTATTTGATAAAAATGAATATCGATTATTGTTAAGCTTTTAATATCCTTTCATTTTAAAAAAGTAATTGAGAGGTGCCTTAAGCCTTTTTGTTTCCATCTGAAACTGTACCATCCATCACTGCAAAAAGAGGGTGAAGAATGTTATCTCTGCCAGCTTTTCATTCATACCTGTTCTTAGCATTAAACACACAAAGGATAATTGATGCCTCCCAAATTCCTCTGTTCATTTAAAAAAAAAGAAAGAAAAGCAGTGTCACCTTCAGAACTTTTGTTTCCGGTACTTTTTTCTCAAAGTAAGTAGTCATGTTATATAATGCTGGTTGCATATATATAAAAATACGATTGGAGAAGGTTGTCCCTTAGGAAAAATGCTACTGGAATTTAAAAAATTAAACTCAGTTGTATATGGCGTGCATACTAGTACTAGAAATAGATCTGCCATGTTATCTGCCTGTATCTTCATTTTGGCCAATGCGAGGTGTGGATTACAATCTACAGAAAGTGTTGTCTGTCAGCAATTAAGAATTAGTCTGTTGTCAAATTGTTGGATGTGACTGTTCTTATTCTCTTTTTTATGAAACTTCTGTCTGTCACATTCTTTCATTTAGCTTTATTGAGTGAATATTACTTTTTATTCCTACAGGTATGCAGGTGGCTTTTCCCAAGCTTCAGCGTGGCGAGTTCATGAGATGGATCCAACAAGGGTGAGGCTTGAGTTATTTGCAGTATAAATACAGTGGAGTCTGCTTAAACCAAAATCTGCAAGACAGCCGAGTTTTTGGTTTAGCAGGGTTGCTCAAAAAGAAGGAAGAAAATCAGGGATTTAATTTCTTTCAATTTACTGCTGTTTTTAAATTAACCATGTTTGGTTTAAGCAGACTCCTGTACTCTTTTTGCAAGTAAACTTTCTCTTCAGTCTTCATATTTTAGAATGATTTTTTTAGTTTATTTCTTGACCTCAGGTAGAATAGAAAAAAAGTCTTACTTTTAGTTCTTTTATATGTACATTTAGTAGAGTAGACCCTACATCTTTGGTGTTATTGAGAAAAAAAGTATTTTATTCTGTACTCTAGACTAGAGGTAGGCAAACTTTTTGGATCAGGGCCACTTCAACTGGGCCATTAGCATCAAACGGGCCACACCTTTGACTACTAGTGCTAGATCTAGATATAGTGTGTACCTTTTTTTTTATTTGAAAAGTACAAATGTGGTGTATATTTCCAACAGATAATGGAAAAAGCTTGTTACCAGCGCCTTTCTGGTCTGCCAATGAAGAAAACACTGATGGCAAGGCTACACCTGTACCCAGATGAGGTCTGTGAACGAAGTTCTTGTCTTTTAATCATTTAGTGGTTTTAAATGCATGTACAGTCAAACACGGGTAACTCGAATTCGTCAGGGATTGGAAATAATGTTCGAGATTTCCGTAATTCGTCATGTCCGTGAAAGCCCCAAAGACAAAGTAAAAGAGAGAAAATCAAGGGAGGTAAAAAAAAAGAACATAAAACAATTAACGTGGTTAGCTCCTTTGATGAACATGTTGACGGTGAAAAAGAAAGAAGATGAATGAAAGTGGAAAGTAGAAAATCTCTCGTGTGCACAGCCAACTCCTACATCATTCCTTTCCTCTCATCTCATTGGCTTACAGAAAGTTACGCCTCTTGCCATCTGCAGTGGGCGAGTCCCACAGCATGACTGCACACATGGCAAGCCAGTCATGCAGTGCGGTCAGCATCACTCCCCGTCCCCCCTTCCTCCAGCCTCTCGGGGTGAGACAAGGACCACGTTTTGACTGTAACTATAACAAGGAAACACCTACCTGCAGCCAAAAAGGCTGTAAAGCCAGGTTTCAGTTGAGAATGCCAGGTGGATTTTTTAGAGATTCGAGTGTTGTGTGTTCCGAGTGTTCGGGAACTCCGTGAAGTTAATATAAAGAAAACATAGGGACTGAAACGGGACAGAGCATTATATTCGAGATACTCGAGATTTCATGATTTTCGTGTTCGAGATTCGTGGACTCTACTGTATTTTGCTGATTGATTTATTCTATAGTCGGGTTTCGAAGTTTGCAAATCATATCTGTTCAACCATTTTCTAAGTATAAAGGATAAAGATGCGACGGATGATGTGTGCTCACACATTCATAGAACAGTCTTGTTTCACTACAAAATAATGTTGTGTGCAATATATATACAGTGCAGCCTCTCTATAAGGACCTTCGATATAATGACATCCTCTCTGTAGCGACATGGTGCCCGGGTCCCGCTTTTTTCCTATAAATATCATTAGTAATTTTTGGTTGCCTCTCTATAAGGACCACTCTCCATATATTTTAACGACATTTTTTTCTGGTCCCAACGATGTCGTTATAGAGAGTCTGCACTGTATAATATTATATTTTGTTACACAGAATACTTTGGGTCAGTAATTAAAAAATTCAAAAGAAAGGAAAGCTGGAGGGTGTTCCTTTTTTTAAGTTAAGTTTTAGTAAGAGTAAGAGCCTTATGGCACTTAAAACAACACAGTTGGGTCATATTAGTGCTGAGACGTATCTTTATAGCCACACATTCTCTCAAATGAATTGTAATGAGAGGGCAGTAGTAGCCATTTGAAAAGGGTTAAACTGTGCTTAGGTGTGTGTGTATATACAGAGTGTGTGTGTCCCAATGTGGGGCCTGTTTGTGAAATGTAAACTTACTGTTGGTGCTGTGTGCTCCTGTCCTTTGTGTGCAAGCTGTATGTGACATGGGATGCCAGGGTTGGCTGATAGCTCTCTTGGTATAGTGTTTGACCACAGAGTAGATGGCACTGGTTCAAAACGAAACCTGGAAGGTCAGGAAAGCCAGTCTTTTCCTGGCGATTCCTGCAGAGTGAAAAGCAACTCATTACAGACAGCATCCACCATTGACTTTTATATTTTTATTGTGGATGGTTGGCGGATGCTCTGGTGTGGTTTGCTCCTTCTTTCCTATCAGACATCTATCATCCTTATCTCCCCTCCTTCTTTTTTGTGTTTGTTACTCTCTTGTTACACCTTTAATCTTCGGCACTTATATGACCTTATTGTGTTGCAAGTGCTGTACAACGCTTACTAAAAAAATATTTTTATTTATATATATATATATATACTGTCTCTCAAAGCTGTGCTTACTAACAGGTGTTGTGCTCTGTTTTTTTCTTCTCACTGTCAGGAGATACCACAAGAGATCTTGGAAAATGTCTCTGGACAAATCCGACAAGTGCAAGTGGTGCCTAAGAAACTTGAAGATTACACAGAGGAGGAAATTCAAAACTTCCCACGTTTGTTTGAATGGTGAGACCTTCGTCCGTGTCACTGGGGAAAATATTGTCATTAACCCCTCTGTTGTCAAAGCGTGTGTGTTCCCACCGTCAGCACTGATTTTTCAACAAGGCTCATTAGCCAGGACAGCAGTCTCATGTCTCTGTGTTAGTGGACTCGCTGTCTAGATCTAGCCCACTCATGACATATTTCCGGACCCCTGGTCTTTGATAGTGTCACTTTCCTCTTTCCGTTATAAATCATTTTGATGTTTACTTTTTATTTAAAGAGAACACATTTGTCTCCAAGACTAGACTCATGTTTATTGATTGATTTCAAGCTTAGCAGTAAACCTATTCCAGCAAATTTGGTACCAATATACAGTCAAACCTGTGTAAGACGGTCACCCATTGTCAAGGAGAAAAGTGGCCGTATAAGACAGGTGGCCGTCTTAGGCAGGACTGATCAAGATGAAGAAAACAAACCATTCCTATCTGAGGTCCCAATCGAAAGTAGCGGCATTTGTTTTTGTTGTTGTTGTTGTTGTTGGTTTGTATTTTGTTTGTAATTCTTATTTTGTTGCTGATTTAGCACAAGGGTAACAAACAAAAACAAAAAAAAATGTATCAGACGAGGAAGACCGAGTGCCATGTTAAAACAAACACTTGGCTCGCCACCACTCGGAGAACGAGCGACGCTTCTGTCGCAAGTTCATGTTGACATCCTTGTTACTTTGTTACAGTCTGGGTAAACAGTGACCACACATCTCACTTACGATTTGTGTATGAGTTCTGGGCGGGGCTTATGGGTTATGAGGGATCACACGCTTACCTCACCAGCAGCTGAAAATTGGTAGCTATTGGTCAACAGTGGGAGGGGCCTACGCAACATGATCGGTTGGAGGGACTACCTAAAAACGACAGGTGATTGAATTATGACGGCTCGCCCACAACACCAGGGGCCAGTGCACAATTTATGACAAAGCGTAATGGAGTCACTTAGGTGGCCGTCTAAGACAGGTGTTATTGCTTTGTGTGATAGGGGTTGTGTGTTAAAATATGGTGGCCGCGGCCGCGTTGGAGAGGTGCCCGTTTTACACAGTTAAATTATATAGAAAAAACGCAAGGGGGGAAATGGAAAGTTGCCGTTTGTACAGGTGACCGTCTTATAGAGGTTGCCGTCAGGGCAGGTTTGACTGTATATACACATTTTTAAAAATTCATGAATACGAATTCCAGAAGTCTTTGGGGCTAAATCTCGGCACAGAAGAATAAGAGCCATTAAAATAGCTTTGACTGTACTTGTACGCACTCTGAGACATAACTACAATTTTTAAATTTTGTTTGCTGAAATCAATTTTGTCTTGTTTATTTCAGGCCGGAGAATTATGATGTTGAGTCATACCAGAGAGAAAATCAGCAAGAGCCAGATCAACACACGACAAAGAAATGGCGATTAGATTAAAAAATAGTCTAGTCTTATTATTGAATTAATCATTTTTCTGCTCATGAACTCTGTTGGTGTGAAGTTCTAAGATTCTTGGTGAAGCTTTGTTGCTTTCTGAAAAGGGTAGCCTACATGCAGTGCTCCACGCAGTTTCTTTGAAGTAAGTTCATTTCATTTGAAAGGGAAAGAACTTGATGAACGGTATTCCCCCTTCTCGAGTGATGTTGTGGTGTGGTGAGCTGTTGTACTATATACTAGACAAAGCTCTGAGGTAGCAGCATTGTTTGATGACCATAGTTTTTCACACCGTGGGCACAAACCATTGCTAATGGATATATACAGTGCAGCCTCTCTATAAAACGAAATCGGCGGGACGAGAAAAAAATTTCGTAATAGAGAGTTGTCGTTATGGAAAGGCAATCAAAAATTTCTAATGATATATAAAGAAAAAATCGGGACCTGGGCACCATGTCGCTATACAGAGGATGCCGTTATATCGAAGGTCGTTAAAGAGAGGCTGCACTGTATCCCGTTGTGGATTTTGTGTACAAAAGTTAGAAAGAAAAACGTGAAAAGGAATTCTGTGAGTTTATTATGTTGCTAGTGTGTGTGTGTGTTTGATAGAGTGATGAGGTTTATACTGAGTGATTGGTTTTCATGGAATTCAAGATTAGTTGTTGAGTCTGACGAATGTATCGCAAGTCTGTTGAAGTTGAAATGTATGTGAATTGTGATAACGCATTAGAAGAAGGATAAAAATTACCCAACATAGTTTTGTGTTGCTGTTGGTGTTTTTCTTCTAGTTTCTTGGGTGTATGTCTTAAGGACCGTTCACAAATGAAGTCAGCTTGGGTTTGGGGGG